AAATTCATGCAGGGAGGGGGTGGCCTGGCCTGCACCCTCTCCAATATGGGATCCTCTTACAATCCAGGACGACTGGCTCCTAACCCCTCTGTCTGCCTGCCAGATCACCCCTACGTTGCCTTCATGCTAGTCTGATTGCCCCTACCTTGTCCCCCTGCCTGCTTGATCACCCCTAACTGCCTCTGCCTGCCTGCCTGATCACTCCCAACTGCCTCTGCCTAGGCAACCAACACCATGGCTCTGTCCGGAAGGAAGTCGATGTCTGGTCAACCTGGTCTAATTAGCATATTACCCATTTATTAGTATAGAAAGATTATATAGGATTAGAGCCTGATGCACAAAATTTGTGCAAGGAGGTGTGTGTCCCCCTCAGCCTAGCCTGCACTCTCTCCTATCTGAGATCCCTCTCACAATCCAGGACTGCTGGCTTCCAACTGCTCACCTGCCTGCCTTCCTGTTTGCCCCTAACCACTTCTGCCTGCTAGCCTAATTGATGCCTAACTGCCCTTCCCTGCAGGTTTCTGCTCTAGCTGGTTTGGCTCAGTGGACAGAGTGTTGGACTGCAGACTGAAGGGTTCCGGGTTCAATTCTGATCAAGGGCACATGCCCAGGGTTCTGGGCTCAATCCCCAGAGTAAGAGGCTGGCAAGAGGAAGCCAATCAATGATTCTCTCTCAGCACTGATGTTTCTATCTCTCTCTCCCTCTAGGCCCTTCCTCTTTAAAATCACAAAAATATATTAAAAATAAAACAAAATAAAACCTAGCTTCTTTTTCTGTTTATTTTCTCTATTGCTTTCCTGTTTTCAATTTTGCCAATTTCTGCTCTTTATTATTTCCTGCCTTGTATTTGCTTTGGGTTCTTGACTTAGGAGCTAAGATTATTCACTGGAGACTTTTCTTCTTCCTAATGTATGCATTTAATGCTATCAATTTCCCTCTCTAAATTTTGTGTTTCCCAAATTCTGATACATTGTATTTTCATTTTCATTAAGTTCAAAGTTTTTAAATTTTCATTTGAGACTTCCCTTTTCATACCTATATTATTTACAAGTCTACTGTCTAGTTTCTAAGTTTCTGGAAACTTTTCCAATTATCTGTTATTAATAACTGGAACCAAGAAAGCTGAAAGGAGAAATAGACAAAATCATAATAATCATTAGAGACTTTCTTTGATTTCTAGTTTAATTCCATTGGTTCTACTGGTTCTTGCTTCACATAGCTTTCAGCTCTTTTGTTTGGTGTATACAAATATAAGACTGCTAGACATAAGAATAAATATAAGAATCCTGATGAATTCTTCTTTTATTACATGTCTTACTGTCTCTGGCTATTTTCTTTGCTCTTAAGTCTACTTTATATTATTCAACTAGAGCCATTCCTGCTTTCTTTTGATTATTGTGTGATATGTCTTTTCCCATCATTTAATTTCCAACTTGCCTATATTGTTTATATTTGAAGTGAGTTAATCCTCTTTGCCAATCTCTCTCTTTGATTGTTGTAGTTAGATCATTTATATATCATGTAATTATTAGGGCTTATGTCTGCTATTTTATTTTTATTTGCTATTTTTTTGTTTTTCCTCCCTTCCTTTCTGAGGAATAACTGAACATTTTTTAGAATTCTATACTGATTAATCTATTGTTTTTTTTAGTGTATCTCACTGAATATTTTAAGTTGCTCCAGGTATTAAGTTGTATACATAAAACTTATCACAATCATTATTTCTTTGAATTCTTTCTCAGAAACTTCTTTCTCTCCTCTTTCTAGATTTCTGATAACTATAAAATTTTCCATCTATTTTCTCTCTGTAGTTAGATTGAGTTATTTCTATCATCGAGTTCACTATTTCTTTCCTCTGTTTCTTACTTTAAGAAAAAATGTTTTTATTGGTTTCAGAGAGGAAGGAAGAGGGAGAGAGATAAAAAGATCAATGATGAGAATCATTGATCAGCTGCCTCTTGAATGTCCCTTACTAGGGATTGAGCCTGCAATCCAGGCACATGCCCTTGACCAGAATCGAACCCAGGACCCTTCATTTTGCAGGCAGATACTCTCTACTGAGCCATACCTTTCATTTTGCTGATCTCATCCATCAAGTTTTTAATTTGTTATTATATCTTCCAGTTTTAAAATTTCTATCTGGTTCTTCTACCTTGTATTTTTTTTCCCATGTGTTTCAAGCAAGCAAATATATATATTTTATTGATTGCAGAGAGAAAGGGAGAGAGAGAAAGAGAGAAACATCCCTGATGAGAGAGAATCATGGATCGGCTGCCTCCTGCAGGACCCCCACTGGGGATCAAGTGTGTAACCTTTGCATGTGCTCTTGACTGAAATCAAATCCAGGACCCTTCAGTCCGCAGGCTGATGCTCTATTCACTGAGCCGAACCAGCTAGCTCAAACAAGCTTCTAATTGTTTGTTGAGGCACTCATAATGGTTGTCTAAAAACAAAATCTTTGTCAGATAATTCTAACATCTGTCATCTTCCTGTTGACATCTGTTTACATTTTTTTTCCTTTTTCATTTAGTTTTGAGATCTTCCTGATTCTAGCTGAGAAAAGCGACTTTTTATCGAAAACTTGACATTTTGAATACTGTTTCATTAGCCTCTGGGTCTTTTTAAATCTATACTTTACACGCCTTGCTCTGACACTGCTCCCACGGGGAAATGATAAGCATGGAAGAACATCATTACAGTTAGTGATAGTGGAAGCAGTACTCATTTTTTTTTTGTTTGGCTGAATATTTGACCACAATTATTTTTATTATTAACCATAGATATGGAATGTTTGTTACAAGTGCTGCCAAAACATTAGTGGAATACCCAGGTTTCCATCACTAACTGAAGTACAGTGTTCCTATGAAACCTTTCCTAAGCTGAAATGGCACAAAGTGAAGAGTATCATCCTCTACTTTCTTGAAAGTTCACATTATGTCACTTTATTTTCACCAATGACTTACATTAGTACAATAAAGCAAAGTGATGCATTGGGAACTTTTGAAAGTGGAGGAGATACCTGTATTTCATTTAAATCACAACAGTAATTTGCTACTTATAAATAAACACCTCCTGTTACTTGTTAAGAGTAAGAGAAATGAACAAAAGGCATTAGAGATAGAAGTAGAAATCTAGGATTACTTCCCAACTAGAGGCCCGAGGCATGAGATCTGTGCACTCAAGGGGGATCCCCCTTCAGCCTGGCCTACACCCTCTCACAGTCCAGGAGACCCCACCCACCTGCTGCAGTGCCACTGACAGCCAGGTAGCCTGGGCCTACCTCTGTGAGGCGATCATGGGGTGATGGCCGGGCCCCTAACCAATTGCATCGCACCTGCCTTGGTTGGCCTGATGCCAGTGGGTGTCATAGGATGGTTGGCCGGCCAGCTGGTCCACTGTTCAATTTGTATATTATGCTTTATTATAGGTAGTTGACATCTTGTTATCTGACTCTATAGTATGGTACTATATTAAAATGCACACAATTTTCCGTGTGGTTTGCAAAATCAACAAGAAAATCCATAGTTAATAATCAATAAGGACATGTTTCATATTTCTTGAAACTCGCATAACATGTTGGCCCTATGATTTCAAATACAACACCTGTAATAAAGAATCCCTTTCTGAAGCAGGTAGGTTTACATGTTTATTATAAGTTAACAAAGTGAGTGATGAAACATATTTCTCTCTGGATTTGCTGTATGAAGTGAGACATTGCTCTTGTATGTTATCAAGCTGAAATTATTGGCAATAACAGGTAAAGCATTAGTTGGTGCTTATGGGAAATGCAATAAGGACAACCAAGAGCATTTATCTATAATCAAGTATAGATAGTATAATATCTTACCTAAGAAAGAATTCTTCAGTGAATACCAATGCTGTTTTATTACTATAGTCAATTTCTGGGCTCATGGATTAATTAGAAGAACTCCAAGTATCATTCTTAATAAATATTTACTCACTGGTTACTACGTCTAAGGCACATTGCTAAGTGCTGCCTATGACCTCATCTTCTACTATCCTTAGAACAATAAGATTCTCTAATCATTTGTTTTCTAGAATCCCTTCTGGCAGTTGTTTTAACACATTGGGGACCGATCCCGAGAATTCTCATGCTTTCTGTTCTAAGGCTTATGGCCAATCATACCTTAAAAAGGTATTAGTTTGTAAGAACATATAATAAATAACTTCAAAATGCAAAGGGCATTTAATTTTATAGTATGCCTTTAACATTTATGTAAAACATTTTTTGTACTCGTTCAATGAAAACTTATCTGGCCACTGGGTAAAGCTAGCAATAAAACTACTGGTCTGCAATATGTTAAGAGTCTTACCCAAAAAGTAGAACTACAGCGTTATTCTAGGCAAGCTACTTATTTTTAGCTTCCTTCTGACTTTTTCTAAACTATAATGTTACAATATATATACCTTATAGAGGATTAACTGTCTACTCATCTATGTACATTATATTAACATCATATGCAGACATATACAGCATAAAGGAACATAATGTGTTCAGATAACTTCCAAAAGTTCAAGATGATTAATGGAAATAACTGAGATACTGCAAATTTTATCTATTAAAGATGGCAGAATTCCCATGCTTTGTATAATATTATACTGCAATAATACTTTACCTATTTAATCAAAAGTGACTATAAATAAGCTATAAATGTTCAGCATCTTGAAACATTTCCAGACTTCATTAGTGTCCCTTTTCCTCCCTCTCATGCAACATAAAAAAAGATTTTAGGGAAAATGTATATACAAAGATGTGTTAAAGCATTTTGGCTTTAAGAGAAGGCTCAGAATATAAGTCAAGAGTCTGATCTAAGATGAATGTTACAAGGCATTTCAAAGAAAGAAATTTTTCCACTTTATGATATTCAAAGACTATCAGTGATTAAAAGCTTATGGAAGATATACTAATAAATATTTAAATATATAAAACAAGTATATGAAGTAAAAAGATAATAAACATTTAAAAGGACCTACTTACCTCTTCTACATTGGAAGCAGTCTTAGCAGAAGTTTCCATGAAGATAAGTCCATGTTCTCGTGCAAAAGCTTCACCTTCTTCTTTTTTTACTTCTCTTCTAGATTCTAAATCACTAAACACAGGAAAGAAAGCATCATGTTATGAATGATCACAGGACAAATAGAGGCATCTGTAGAAAATGTACCAAGAGTTTCAAAGTTGTACTAAAGATTCTTTCAATTAATTTTTAATACATAATAAGCAATTGAATTATGCTGAGTATTATGAGGGTCACAGTGTTTAGAAACACTGCCTAGTTTCAAAAAACTAATAATCAAACAAAAGATTCTGAATTACAGCCTATAATGCCAAAACTAAGAGAAACCTAAAGGAAACATCTAGCCCAACACCCTGCCTTTGGGTATAGTGGATTCCTAAAGAAGGAACCATTTTACTCAAGTAATAAATTGAGAGAACAGAACTACACTAGTTTCTTCATCCTTCAGCCAGACTGACTTCCTATGAATGTGATTAAAAATAAGTCACACATTCTCAGAAGCTAAAGGAAATTGCTTAATAAAATCCAAAGCACTAAGAATATATATTAATTAGATTATTAATCCAAGTCGGCTTAATTCCCAGTAAAGCTGTTAATAGAAAAAGAGAAACAAAAGTCTAAGCTAGAAATCTGGGACAAGAGCATGGTATTCATTTTTATCATCCTGGAACTGTATTAGTAAGGCAGAGAGGGAAAGTAACAGTCTAATTTCAAGTGTGTTCTACTGTAAAAGTTTTGAAACTTCACTATTATAAAGTATTTTAAGCACACAGAAAAGTATAGAGAATAATATAATATCCATTTAGCCTTGATACAGTATTATGATGGGTTTATATCAGTTTATTCTGTTGAGAAATAAAATAAAATAAAATGTAGTTATACAGCTCAATGCCTCCCATGTGCCTATCTGTTCCTGATCTTATTCTCTTCTCTCTTACCTCAAAGGTAACCAGCACTCTATATTTGGCATTTTCATTCTCAGGGTACTTTTATATTTATACTCATGTAAAGAAGGATTTTTTGTTTTTGTTTTTACATATTAAAAAAAAATTTAGATGTAGTTATCATTATACAACTTACTAATTTTGGTCAATATTATATTTTTCAGATTTATATACATAATATATATAGGTCTATTTTCCTAATTTTTTATGTTGTATTATATTCTATTGAATGAATGAAACAATTCATTTTTAATTCTCCATTGCCAGAGATCCAAGCTCACACTCTAGGAGAAACTGGTAGGGTGATTCCATCCAGACCATTGTGCTATACTTATACTGCATCATTAAAACATTTTTTTTCATGATTACCTTTTCTGATAACCAATTATATTGAAAAACTTTTGTCAAATAAGGGAAAATACAAAGAAAAAAATTAGCCATAATTTACTTTCCCCAAGTAATTAACATCTTGGTGAATATAATTCTATATAAGTTATTTTGTTTTTCCCTACCGGAATATACTCGTAATCACTATTCATCGTAATTTGCTTTTTTCCCATTGACTATACTGTGGATCATTTTCCTATGTCATTTTTGCAGTCTTTTACAATATTATTTTTACTGGTACACAGTAAAGATGGCAGTATATTTTATGCAAATCTGCACTGCACAAGTTAGGAATAATACAAACAAAACAAAGATGTTAAAGTCTCATTCACCTTATGTTAAGCAATGTCAAGTGTTTCAGCTTTACAAAATTCAGCAGGAACTTCATAACCTCAAAGCTGGCTGACTGGTAAGCTGTCATTATGTTTACAAAGTTGCTGTTATCAGTCACCTCCTTTCTGTGATTGAAACTTCTATGGGTGATTCTAGTGACTATTTTGTAACCTTCACAAGTTGTTACACTTTAGAAATGTTTCATGATTTGTTAAATGCCATCTAAGCATTCATTCAGTTTAACAAGTGCTGATAAAACACTCCTAAAAATCAGACATGGAAGAAGACAATGTGTTGATGGAAGCTGAGAGGGAAGTGATGCAGCTCTAAGCAGAGGAATGTAGGCAGCCCTTAGTAGCTGAGACAACAAATGTATTTCCCCTATCTCCAGAGAGAAACAGTTTTTCTGACACCTTGACTTTAGCCCCATAAAATTCATTTCAGACTTCTGACCTCCACAACTGTCAGATTAGAAACTTGTGTTGTTTTAAGTCTCTCTCTCTCTCTCTCTCTCTCTCTCTCTCTCTCTCTCTCTCTCTCTCTCACACACACACACACACACACACACACACACACACACACCCCACCTGAAATGTTGGAAGGTGTGATATAAGATACTATAAAGGTAATAGCAAGTATAAAAGTGACCGTACTATAAAATATTAATGGCAAGATGAGAACTTAAAAAACAGGCAAACTATTTTAGCATTAATTAGGCAAGGATATTTATCCAACTATAATCTGAGGGTCTCCTGTGAGTCAAGACTCTACCTGAACCCCAGAACAAATTAGTCAACAAAATAGACAAAAATCCAACTCCCCCTGCACTCATGGAGCTTATACTCTAGTACAGTGTTTGCCAACCTTTTGGACCTCACGGACCACCAGTTGGCGACTGCTGCTCTAGCAGGAATGAAAAATTTGGGGGTGGGGAAGAAGTGACAGGAGATGGGGATACACGCTTCTGAATTCAGCTCATTTATCTGACAATCATTCTTAAAGGAAAATTAGCTTTGAATTACACAAAACCTTCAGGAAAATACCTTTCTCTTACTACCCCTTTTTCCACTTCATGCATATGCCATGTTTTACTGAAACAATCTCTTATTATGGGAATATTTAAAGTTATTCCCATATCAGTATCTGATTATGTTTGCCTTTTGAAATGTTATCTTAGCAAAGAGGGTTAAGAACCTAGATGTTTGAAGAATTGTTCAAAGAGGAAGCGACACTTAGCTATTCATAGTCTTCTTCCATTTTATCATCCTATTTTTGTCAATTCCTCAGTTTTCCAGGCATACAATCATGTTGTCATCTTTGACTTTTCATCCCCATTAGTCCCATTTAAGTTGCTTTTCATTACTTAAATCTTTCTTTCCTAAATCATTCTCTTACTATGCCCACTTTTTGTTTAAGATTTGTATGTTAATCCTTTAGCTATTAAAAACTTTTATCTTTGTAGATTTTGCTTTCTGTTTCTTGTATAACCAATTTAAAATGCCAAAGTAAGAAAAATCAGTGTTATCTGTCACTCTGACTAGGTCACTGCCCTTCTCAAATCTCTTCATTGGCTCCCTAGTGCTTAATGCATCTAATTCAAAAATTGCTTATTCCCTGTTTCCATGTCTACCCCAGTTCATCTCATCTAATAATAATCACCTCATTTATCTCTGCTCACTCCCATTCACTCTTTGCATGTCATACATTCTTTTTTACTTTCTTCTGGCTTCTTTCTTAAAATGACTTTCCATAGCTCCTATATCCCTAATTGTATGGGCCACCCATCCATAGTCATTAGAAACACCTCTTGTATATACTATAAGCTCATCATAGGCAACAACCTAACTTAAGCCACCCATCAAGTTTCAGATACAGGAAAACACTGGAGATATATAAAAATTCCTTTTCCTCTCCAAATATTCTCCTCTTATTATTTCATATATCACCACTGAATGACAGTATAAATACTTCCATATTACAAAGACTAAAACTTCCTTCCAACAATCTTACTTTTAAATGGTTTAGTGAGGCGACTTAAATGAATAAAGGATAAACAAGAAAGCCCTTGAGTGAAAGCCAAGATAATACATACATCAGGTTACAAAATAAAAAATTAGCCTTTTACAATGGAAGTATTGCTTAAATAGATATTTTCTTTTAACAGCAAACCTAGATTTCTATTAAAACAATACTTTCTATAATCAAATCTATACAGTATACTGTTATTTGTTATCTTTTTAACAGCATAACTGACATAAAGGAAACTACCTTTAATATAGTTTGACATGTGTATATCTGTGAAGCCATCAGCTTCCCCAATGTTTCCTCATACCCCACTGTAATAATATTCTCTCTTCCACTTGTACCTTCGGCAACTAATGATCTGCTTTCTGCCACTATAGATTAGTCTGCATTTTCTAGAATATATATAAATAGGATCACACACTAGGTCTTCTTTTTTGTCTGTGTTTTTCACTCAGCATAATCATTTTGAGATTCATCTACTTTGTTGTACATATCAATAGCTCATTCTTCATTACTATGTGATATTCATTGTATGGCTTCATTCATTCACCAGTTAATTAAAATGTGGATTGTTTCCAGTTTTGGGCTGTTACAAATAAAGCTGCTATGAAAAACTTGAGTATAATTTTTTTATGTAAACACATGAAACGTGTATATTGGGTAAAAACGTAGGAGTGAAATGGCTAGGTCAGTGGTTGGCAAACTCATTAGCCAACAGAGCCAAATATCAACAGTACAACGATTGAAATTTCTTCTGAGAGCCAAATTTTTAAAACTTAAACTTCTTCTAATGCCACTTCTTCAAAATAGACTCACCCAGGCCGTGGTATTTTGTGGAAGAGCCACACTCAAGAAGCCAAAGAGCCACATGTGGCTCGCGAGCCTCAGTTTGCCGACCACGGGGGTACGTGATATGGCAGATGTATGTTTACTTTGTAAGGGAACTATCAAATTGTTTAAAATGTTATATCACGCCAAAACCGGTTTGGCTCAGTGGATAGAGCGTCGGCTTGGGGACTGAAGGACCCGGGTTCGATTCCGGTCAAGGGCAAGTACCTTGGTTGCAGGCATATCCCCAGTAGGGGGTGTGCAAGAGGCAGCTGATCGATGACTCTCTCTCATCGATGTTTCTAACTCTCTATCTCTCTCCCTTCCTCTCTGTACAAAATCAATAAAATATATTAAAAAAAATAAAATTAAAAAAAAAAGTTATATCACTTTATACTCCCACCAGCTGTATATGAGTTTCAGTGCCTTTACATCTTTGCCAACACTTACTATGTCAATCTTCTTAATTTTAGCCATTTCAGTGAGTGTGCAATAATGTATCATTGAGGTTTTCATCTGCATTTCTCTCACGATTAGTAGTATAAAATATTTTTCATGTGCTTACTTGCCATCATCTGTATGTCTTCTTTGGTGAAGTGCTAGTTCAGATCTTTTTAAAAACTGGGTTGTCTTTTCATTAACAAATTAGAAGAATTCTACATTTATTCTAGATTCCAATCTTTTATCTTAGCTGGTAGTTTGCCTTTTCATTTTTGTAACTATATTTGAAGAGAAATTTTAAATTTTGTTGAAGTATAATTTATTTTCCCCCTTTTATGCCTTTTTTCTGTCCTATTTAAGAAATGTTTCACAATACTGGAGACCCTAAAATTTTGTTTTCTTCTAGAATTTTTTTATACTTTTAGCTCTTACATTTAGGTCTATGACTTAATTTTTATATATGGTGTTAGATAAGGGTCCAGTGTTCATTTTTGGCACATAGCTATTTAACTATTACACCACCATTTGATGAAAAGATTAATTATCCTTTCCCCCACAAAACTGCATTAGCATCTTAGTAAAAAAACGATATGACCATATATGTAAGGATCTATATCTGGACCTCTCCCTCTGTTCTACTGATTTGTCTATGTATGCCATTATCAGACTAATCATAGTAGCATAATAAATCTTGAAATCAGTATTAGTGAATCCTCCAAATTTTATTTTCATATAAATTTAAAAATCAGTTTGGCTCAGTGGATAGAGCATTGGCCCATGGACTAAAGGGTTCTGGGACAATTCCTGTCAAGGGCACTTATTTTAGTTGCAGGCTCCTTCCCCAAACCTAGTTGGGACATGTGCCAGAGGCAACCAATTGATGTGTACCTCACATCAATGTTTCTCTCTCTCTGTCTCTCCCTCTCCCTTCCACTCTCTCTAAAAATCAATGGGAAAATATCCTTGGGTGAGGAATAACAAAAAATAAAATGAAAACCAGCTTGTCTACTGCTACCTCCTAAAAAAAAAAAAGTCTGATGAATCTTGGGATTACAATGAGTCTTTAAATAAATCTTAAAAATATTTAGTTTTCTATCCACGCCACAGTCTCTCTCTCTATTTATTTAGGTTTATTTATTTATTTTTTCTTAAGAACTCTAAAGTTGCAGTCATCTAATATAGGAATTTTAGGAAGACTAAAGTAACTATAGCTTTGAATTGAGGAACCAAATAACTAAGAAGAAAATAGTTTTTAATTATTTAGGAATAATTTATTTTTGGTTGGGATATAACTGACACATAATCCATGTAAGTTTAAGTTGTACGATCTTATTGATTTGATACATTTACATAACAATATGATTACCAACATAACATTAACACCTCCACGATGTCACATAATTATTTCATGTTGTATTAAGAACATTTAAGACCTAGTCTCTTAGGATCTTTGAAGTATGTAATTGGTAACCACAATCACAATGCTGTGCTTAGATCTCCAGAACTCATTCATTGTTTAATTATAGGTTTGTACCCTTTGACCAACATCTCCCCAATCTGTTGATTTTGTTTACAATATTCTCTTATCCCTGTAATATCTGAAGTATCTGTAGTGGTATCTGTAGAAGATAAGCAGTTCCTGATATTGGTAATGTGTCTTTTTCATGATCAATATTATTTTATTTATCTTCTCAAGAACTAACTTTTGGTTTCATTGATTTTCTTATTACCACCTTTTTTTCCCTTACCTTAGGTTTAATTTTCTCTTATTGTTTTAGTTTTTAGTCTTAAAGTGAAAGTTTAGGTTATTGATTTGAAACATTTTCCTAATGTAAGTATTTAATTACTATAATCCCCCTGTAAGCACTGCTTTTACTGCATCCCACAAATTCTCAAAGATTGCAAAAGATAGAAAATAACTTTTGTAAAGCAGATAATATTGCAAATAATGTGGTTCGTAGAAATGCAGACTGAGCCTCTTGAAATATAATTATCATCCTATGGATATTGTTCAGTTTTTTTATCCATCTGTAAATTCAGGTAGGCATTCCTTATTTGATTATAAATATAGCACTTTGAGTTCTCTTTTAAATAAACTTTCAAAATCTTACTGGTTCCCTTTATTAATGAATGAGATAAATAAAAGCTTTGATGTGTTCATTATCATTTAAGAATCATGATTTTACCTTTCTAAAAACATTATCTTTTAACACTATTTTATAAACTTAAAGAATGAATGAACTATGTCTAGCATTTCAGAAATACTAATTTCATTTTCTACTAAAATTAGTGGTAACTTTCCCACACTCTTACAAATTTACAGAAACTACGGGAAAGAACATTTTCCCATGTACTATCTTTTTAAATGTAAAGCAAAAGGGCATTTGTTGCAGATAATGCTCCCTGGAAATATAAAGTTTAGAAGAAAAAGACATTAATATGACACTAAAATAAAGCCTTAGAGGTAAGTTTAAAAGTACTAATGTAATATCTACTAAACAATTTTAAGTGTTTTGGGATTTTAAGAACAAAAGACTACTTGAAATAGTAATTTCCAACCAAGTTTATTTTCTGTATTTTAAAAACCAAATTATTTCACTCATATGTGGAATATAAAACTCCCTTCCCTCTGGTAACCACAATAGATAGTGGTTACCAGAGGGAAGGGAGTTGGGATAGGGGTAGTAAAGAGTAAATGGGGCCAAATATATGGTGACGAGAGATGATATGACATTGGGTGGCGGGCACACAATGCAATATCCAGATCATGTAGCATAAAAACTTGAAACTTATATATTATTAAACAATGTCACCTAATTTTAATTTTTTTAAAAATCTTAGGCTTTTCAAAATTTTATAATTTCAGAAACCATTAACTTACATTTGACAAATGTACTTCAACAGTGCATCACATAAACAACTATCCACAGTCTTCATAATTAATTTAAAAAAGCTTTAAATTATCCCCTTTACCTTTTATTTCCAATAAGCATAATGACCATGTTGGAATTGGAATGCTGGCGGGCATCTTCTAACCAGGTTGTCAAGTGGTTGAATGTATCTCTCCTAAACATAAATGATAATTTTATTACTATTGTCAAAGGATTTCCCCTCACAGTGTACAATAAACACTTATTAAAGATAACTATTTTTAGCCACATCCACTTATGTAATGACAACAGGTTTCAAGTACATATTTGAATTTAAAATCCAGTGATTACAGTTCAGTTTAGAAATTAAATGTAATAGCACTTTATTAAATTTCAATATATAATTAATATTTCAACCTGGGGGTACTTTTCATATATGAAAATAATTTAGTTACAAATTTCTTTAGTAAATTTATATTTCTTTTAAGACATACAAGTTTAAAGGCAAATAGCTAGAGCATAAAGGCAAAGCTATACTTTTATTACTGGTAATGACATTTATTTAGAAAAATTCTTTGCACTGACCACTGAACTGAAAATTTTCTAAGTTCTCACCTTGTAATGTCATATACTAGTAAAGCCCCCGCTGCACCTCTGTAATATGACCTCGTGATGGAACGAAAGGACTCTTGCCCTGCCTGTGAGAAAAGAAAAGGTTGAGAATTTCCTTTAATAAATTGTCCTCTTCATTTCCTTGTTATTCATGTGTAGAATATGGGCAGGTAGGGAATGAGTGCATAAAAGAAAAGGAGGAAACCTAGCTTCGCCAATCTTGGGAAAAAGTCACATACTACTACTATCGCTCAAGTCAACCAGACAACCAGATGCACATGCAACCTCCCTACCCCCAAGGCCTCTAAGCCTCTTTTGGCAATCCCTGACAACCCAATTTACTGAATGGCTTCACAATACATGCATCATTATTAGAGCACAGAATGGACTCCTAGCAACTAAGCTCTGAAGACAAATTTGAAAGGAAGCAAATAACCCAGAGCCTCACATTTGAATTCAATAACCCACTCCCTGGGGCAGCTGTTGACACTAGAATAAATAAAGTCCATTGTAAATAAATGATGAATGACATCTTTACGCCCACCATCTGCTGGTATAAAGGTTGTTGGAAGGCCAAGGATGCAGATTTTATCAGTTATATCACAAACTGTAGTGAGCTTTCAACAGTCATCAGATGGAATTCTTTGAGCAATCATTTTATTATGAAAAACAGAAAATGGTTCTGAATTTAATTTATATAATTTTTCTCCACACTTAATCAATTTTCTCTGTATTTGATATATAATGCTGTCAAAAGGCAACAGGATGTAAAAGTCATCTTTATATCCACTTGTGAAAACAGACGTCAGAGATTATGCAAAATTAGTTAATTTCTCTTTTACTGGTAGCACTAATGTTCTAATTTTTAAGAAAGAATGGTAAAGGATATGCCTATTTCCTTTAAGATTAAAATTGAGACAGTTCTTATAAAAATATTTTTTCATTTTTAATCATTTCTACCTTTGAGAAAAATATGTAAATTAAGTAAACATAAAGCCAGTTTTCACAATTTTTTGTATTCAAAACCTACTAACTTCTTGAAACATATTTATGTTTGCATGTTCTGAATTCTGATCTTCTAATGCAAATATTAAGCCCTTCTTACTCTCAGTAAGCACACAGCTCAAGTTCTTCCCTAATCTAACCCTCAATACTTTATAATGCCTTGTTTTTCTTGGCCCTCCCACCACCCTCACTCCTTCCCATGCCCCCGCACCCAGTGCCCAGCCCCGATCTGGCACCCAACATTCAGACAAAGCCTGTTGAGTGACAGAATGAATCCTGTTGTCATAGTGCCTTCCACCTAAATTAGTATACATGCCAGTAAATCATAATATGCTAAGATTCAGTAAAATAACTTGTATGTGGTACTAAAGATTAGACCCTCCCTTGGTAACTCATGAGCAATTCTGGCACTTAGAATAATGTCACGCTAAGTTAGATACTGAGAAAGCCACATATAAGAGGGCTATAAAATTAGCCACCTCAATTCACATAGATTGAGGTAAAAATACTATATGTTACTAGTTGGAAGCATTAAATTAATTACAATTATGTTAATATTAATATAATTTATTGGGATGTATCTTTCAAAAAAGACCTTCCCAATTCAAGTTCAAAATTGCAAGCATTATGGGAATTTCTCCTTTAATTGTTTAGCATGGAAAAACTAAGGCCTAGATTTTTAAGAGATTCATTTCACCATGAATTATATATACCAAGTCTGTGGTAAATAATACAAAAAAGATAAATATTTTATTAGTTTAAAATAAAAATCAGTTTTAGAGCTCTTGTATCTGTCACATCTAAACACTGAGTAAGGTGAAAGTCCTTTAAAACAATCTTGCTGGAACATTCTGTGGGATGAGCTAAAATAAATATGCTACTAGCGGAACACCACTACAGAACTAAAACTACATACCATTCCCTTTCCTCTCTATTTTACCAAAACAAACCTATTGCGATATGGAAATAACATATACACACCTTATACTGAATCCACTGAATCTGGACTTTGCCCACCATTATAAAAATCAAACAAAATGCAATTAAAACCCCTCACATATTCCAAGTGAGGACTATGAATGTCGAATGTATCTTAAAAATGTCTAATTACATAAAAGCAAAGACCAGTATTCAGGATAGTTTTCAAATTCTTGAAAGCTGACTTGTAGGAAAACACCCTACACTCTGGCCTAGTTAATGGCACTAGTAGCTGAAAAACATTTTGTTCAAATAAGTGTTTTACTATGGCTTATCCTATATAATAAAATTCTAATATGCAAATCGACCAAACAGCAGAATGATTGGTCACTATGACGCACACTGACCATCAGGGGGCAGATGTTCAATGCAGGAGCATCTGCACTGGGGGAGCACCGCTCAGCCAGAAGCCGGGCTCACGGCTGGTGAGTGCAGTGGTAGTAGCAGGAGCCTCTCCCACCTGCTGCAGATGGGAGGTAAGAAGCAAGGGGTCCCGGACTGCAAGAGGGTGCAGGCCGGGCTGAGAGACCCTACCCTTGAGTGCCCAAATTTTATGCACCGGTCGGTCCTCTAGTCCAACTATAAACAAATAACAAATAACTGCATAAAGCTAGTCCAATAGTAATGTAATCTAGTTTTTTAAAAAGCTCTTACATAAACTTGTCCAAACTGTGATTGACATATAGTATTTTAAATGAAAAAGAATGCCAATTTAGGAAATAGATATTTTTTTTCCCCTCTGCCTCATTTATTTGCACAATAAATGTACACAGGGGGACAACAGCTCCAAGCAGACAGCAGCCCAGGTGTCACACCAACCCTCTGTCCTCACACTGACAGGCAGAGGCCTATACTGTGGAGCCTTTGTAGGGGCCTGGGCACCTTTGGCAGTCTGAGCTGGAGCCTGTGCTGCAGCAGCAGCCTGGCGCTTGGTTTGAGCCTTGTCTTTGGACTTCAGGTGACAGAGCCTGAGACCCTTAGCAATGCGAGCACGAGCACATTTTCCAATTAGGGTGAGCAATGTAGGTAAGCTGGCTGAGCTTTTAAAAAAATATTTTTATTGATTTCAGAGAGGAAGGAAGAGGAAGAGAAAGAGATAGAAAAATCAATGATGAGAGAGAATCATTGATCATCTGCCTCCTATATGCCCCTATTGGGGACCAAGCCGGAAACTTGGGGATGAGCCCTTGACCGGAACCAAACCCAGGACCCTTCGGTCCACATGCACACCAGCTAGGGGGTGTGATGTTATTTTTTTTTAACCCCTTCACAATAAAGTGTTTGGTTGAAGAGATTTTAGAAGCTTGAAACAGAACAGGATATAGAATTCTCTATAGTAAGGGATTCCTAATATAAGTTAAGGATGTAGAGAAAAAGGTATTTAATGAGATGAGGATGACTAGGTAAGTGAATTGCATCCGAAAAACCTTGTGGTCAGAGTGGACAATACAGCTGTTAACTTCTGTAAAACATCAGCAAAGATACCCAGATATCCACAAAGTATAATAGAGTAAATTGGCTTTGAGAGATAAAGGGTAAGTTCCCTTTTTGGTAATGCTTAGGATTAAAATCAGAGTCCTAAAACATTTGTGAAAAAGAACCCTTATAGACCTTCATTTTTTAAAAAAATATATTTTATTGATTTTATACAGAGAGGAAGGGAGAGAGATAGTTAGAAACATCGATGAGAGAGTCATCGATCAGCTGCCTCTTGCACACCCCCTACTGGGGATATGCCCGCAACCAAGGTACATGCCCTTGACTGGAATCGAACCTGGGTCCCTTCAGTCCCCAAGCCGACGCTCTATCCACTGAGCAAAACCGGTCCCAGCAGACCTTCATTTTTTTCATATGAGGATTGCTAAGTCAAATCAACCTGATTAGTTTCCCCATACCTTTAAAATTTACTTCCACTGCCACATAAAGATTCCCCCAAACTGGATTCCCCATGTGTCTGAGTTTTTGTTGATAATGCAATTTAACTCTTCTTCCTCTCCTATTACTTCTATAACATACATCTTTACTCTCATTAAGCTACTGCTTAGTAAAACTTTCTAAATACCCTGAAGCTCCTAGGAGTTGATCTCTATTTGTTTCTTCAAAATTTTATCCTGAGGATATTTTTTCCACTGATTTTTTAGAGAGAGTAAAAGGGAGAGAAAGAGACAGAGAGAAACGTCCATACATTGATGTGAGAGGAACACATCAATTGGCTGCCTTTGCCTTTGCATATGCCCCAACTAGAACCAGGGATCCAATCTGCAATTGAGATACATGCCCTTGAATGGAATTGAACCCAGGACCTTGATGCTCTTTCCACTGAGCAAATTGGGTAGAATCTTATCTTCTTAGTCAATAAAAGGCTTGCTTAAACAACTACTTTTTTAAACCTAATATTTGATCTATATTCTGATTTCTTTTTGCTTTTGTATGTTTATTTTTGACTGAAAAATCACTTATTCAATTTCTACAACCTTTGATAATCAATTCAAGAGCCATTCTCTCACAAAGCTATCAAGCTCGTCTACCACAGCCCATACGTATCCTTTTCTCCTCACAAATCCAAAAGCACTTTCATGTAATCATTTAGTTCTAATACTACCAAATGGATAAAACACACTGCTCAAATGCTTATCTGTTTTCCTCTTTGGTTTTTGAGGGATATTCTAACAAAATAGTAAAATATATTTATAGTAGGCACTAAAATGTTATCTTGATTGAACCAAAGAGCAAATAAAGTTAGAAAATTAAGATCTATGAGAATCAGTATTACAGTATTAACTTTTACTTTCACTGTCAGTCACTCATCTAACAACTCCAAGAACCAAAAAGAATTAAAAAAAAAAAAAAAAAAAAAAAAGGATTTCTAAACAGTCAAGTAAATTGTCTAGTGCACAAGCATGAAATCTCAGGTACTTCACTAAACAGACTCAACTTAAAAATCTAGACCAGTGATCAAGGAACTGCTATCATCGAGGAAATTGAGAATTTCATGCATTGAGATCTACATGCAGGAACAAGACTTCTGTTTTGAACAACAGCGACATTAGTTAGAAACAGTGACTTTTAGGCTACCTTAGTGCCCGCAGTAAGGATGTTTGAGGAAAAATCAACCAGGATTATAATCTTAGGCCTTTTGAGAGACTCCTCTATAGAAAGTCAAGTAGATCCTAAGAGAAACAGAGCTGTAAATAAGACTCAGAGGATGTGATTATCAACTTCTAATTCTTTTTATGCAGCCATTTAAGAGAAATTAGAGACCATAGGTGGGAAGTAAACAGCAGAGTAGATTGAAATGTCTAATATAGGGTCCCTGCGGTTGTTCAAGAAAAAGTTGATGAACAGCTGCAGAAGGAGGCAAAATAGTTGGGCCTCCCAAAGCCTCTCAATTCTGGGAGTTGTGGGGATGGGAGAAGACAGGAGTGGCAGAGGCAGGAATGTTCCCAGTGCTTGGTTCCAGGCCCTTCCCCTATCCCCACCGAATTCTGGTCATCCATTCTTACTGCTTCATTGATACACAAAAATAGTCATTTTTCAGGATGAGGCGCTGGGTATAAAAGGACATATTTTATAAAGGACTGAAAAAATGTCTGTGATTTGCTGAAAATGTATTTTAGCATGTTTTTTTTTGTTTTTTTTTACACAGTTTCACTAACTTTTACTTGAGGTAAAAAATATTTGTAAATATAAAATAAAAATATTTCTAGAGAAATTGAGTAGATATACAGACTTAAAATATCCATATTACAAATTTTGGGTGAGAATAAAATTTATGTGGAAGGTGAATGAAAAAGTGATAAAAAGCAAATGACTAATAAGAATAGAAAAATTAGGTGGATAAAAGCTAGATGAGGGTCTAATAGTGAGAATAGACTTCTTTAGCCCTTCTGCCAGGAGTAAATGAAAAAAAAACTGAGTGCAACTTACGTTCCTTCATTGACCTACTGTGACAGAGATGAAGAATACCAACACCTGACTTCTGATAAAAGACAAAAAGTGACACAGGGCCAAGGGAGAGTGCAGTAAGGGAGGGAGTGATCTGCTGTTATCACTGCTTCCAGCGAGGCCTCCAGAGGTATCTGCTGTATCTGGACTTAACTATTTTTTTTTTAATATATTTTTATTGATTTTGTACAGAGAGGAAGGGAGAGAGATAGAGTTAGAAACATCAATGAGAGTCATCGATCAGCTGCCTCTTGCACACCCCCTACTGGGGATATGCCCGCAACCAAGGTAAATGACCGGAATCGAACCCGGGACCTTTCAGTCCCCAAGCCGACGCTCTATCCATTGAGCCAAACCTGTTTTTTTGGACTTAACTATTTTCAAAAGAAAGCATACATGGTAGTTGTGGATATTTTCATGGAAAATGCCTTACTTTTATTTTTGAAACTGGAAATGAATATACAATGATGACAAATATATTAAAATACTGACTCTTAGTCATTGAGGGGGAAATCATTTCTTTAAAGCTGATACAATTAACCATAAGATCGAGCAAAATTTTCCCTGAAGGACTCTAGAATAGTTTTGTAAATGTCTTGGGCTAGGAATAGACACGATTCTTACTTAAAGTGTACCTTGCTATCCAGGGTATAGACAAACTACAAAACAACAATATGGGAAACTTTCACTCAGATATAAACTAAGTGTGGAACCAACCTTAATATTGTCAGATAACATACATTAAAGAGTTTTGAAAATCAGGTATGAAAGGAAGAAAACCATTGACAATAAGAGAAAACCCTGTAAGGCAGACACTCAGAATACAACTTTTAAAAGCAGTTTTTTTTAAACATTCCTTAAATTCTGGAACAAGCCACTGGGTCCTAGCACCCTACAAATGAAAGCCACTGGGATTCTTTGGGGGCAGGGTCATGATGTCTTCAAAGGTACCATCCTTTAGACACAGGAAAGAAAACTATCCCTTAATTTTTCTGATATATAGCCTTAGGCAAGGGAAACAAAAAAAAATAAACAAATAGAAGTACATAAAACTAAAAAGTTTTTGCACAGCAAAGGAAACCATCAACAAATGAAAAGACAACCCACTGAATGGGAGAACATATTTGCCAATCAATATCCAAAACTTATAAAGAACTTATAAAACTCAACACCAGGAAGACAAACAATCCAATTAAAAAATGAGCAAAGGACCTGAATAGACACTTCTACAAAGAGGACCTACAGATGGCCAATGGACATATGAAAAGATGCTCAATATCACTAATCATCAGAGTTGCAAGTTAAAACCACAATGAGATACCATACCACATCACACCTGTCAGAATGACTATCATAAGAAAATCAACAAACAAGTGTTGGGGAAAATGTGGAGAAATGGGAACCTTTGTGCACTATTGGTGGGAATGCAGACTGGTGCAGCCATTATGGAAAGCAGTACGGAGTTACTTCAAAAAATTAAAAATGGAACTGCCTTCTGACCCTGCAATTCCACTTCCACGAATATACTGGAAGAAACCCAAAACACTATTTTTGAAAGAATATATGCACCTTTATGTTCATTGAGCGTTATTTACAATAACCAAGATTTGAAAAAGCCCAAGTGTCCATCAGTAAATGAGTGGATAAAAAAGCTGTGATACACTTACACAATGAAATTAAACAAAAAACAAAAACAAAAACAAAAAAACTTACCTTTTGTGACAGCATGGATAGACCTGGAGAGTATTATGCTAAGTGAAATAAGCTAATCAGAGTAAGACAAATACCTTAAGACTTCACTTACATGTGTAATCTAATGAACAAAATAAACTAACAAGCAAAATAGAAAACAGACTCATAGATTCAGAGAACAACAGATGAACAGCTATCAGAGGAGAGGGGCTGGGTGAAAAAAGTCAAGTAGAGTAAGCAAAGGAAAAAACCTCAGGTGATTACCAGAGGGAAAAGGGTGCTTGGAAGGTTAGAAGAGGGTAAAGAGAAGGATAAATGGTGATGAAAGGAGATGTGACTTGTGGTGGTGAAAACAATACCATATACAGATGGTGTATTATAAAACTGCACACCTGAAAATATGTAATTTTTAAAAATACATTTTTATTAATTTCAGAAAGAAAGGGAGAAGGATAGATAGAAACGTCAATAATGAGAGAGAATCATTAATCAGCATACCCACTACTGGGGATAAAGCCTGCAACCTGGAATCGAACCATGACCTCCTGGTTCATAGGTCAGTGCTCAATCAGTGAACCACACTAGCTGGGCTTGAAACCTATATAATTTTATTAACCAATGTCACTCCAATAAATTCAATAAAAAGAATTTAAAAAATTATATAGCAAGTAATATAATAGGCAGTCAGTGAACGTAAATGTTAGAATCAGGATTGAAAGCAAGGTGGCTTCAAGTGCTTGATACTAAATCAAACTTGTAAAATTAAAGCACTGTCAGATCAAGGTTCTACGGTGTTGGCATTCATATTTTACCTCACATGTGTAGATATTTCAGACATGCTGCTTGTTTTTCTTAAAAACATATTTTCTGTAGTATTTATGTTTAGACCACAGCCTGAGCATTCATGTTCACGAACATCCAATAGTTGGGATACATCTGTTGAAAATAGTGCATAAAAACTAACCTTGCCCTGGCCAGTGTGGCTTAGTGGGTTGAAAGATTGAGGGTTCGATTCCTAGTCAGGGCATGTATGGGAAGCAACTGATCGATGTTTCTCTCTAACATGGATGTTTCTCTCTCTCACTCCCCCGCCCCACATCTTCCCCTCTCTCTAAAATAAAGAAACATATCCTCAGATGAGGATTTAAAAAAAAAAAAAAAAAAAAAAGGAAAAAAACTAATCTTTCTGGTACTACATTTCATCTCATGGCTGTCAGGGTGTTTGTGTTTAACAAATCATAACAGGCATAAAATAACATGAAAACAAAATAAACACACAATGTACTTTCATAGAACTTCACTCAAGTCATACAATGTATTTTTGCTATACTTACCGTATCCCATATCTGAAGTTTTATTTGTTTCCCATCAATAGTTATCATTCGAGCACCAAACTCTACACCTGGATAGAGTAGAAGATGATTTGTTACATAATCTAGTGGGAATATATTTCACATTTAAGTATTAAAAAGAAAAAGATGTTTAATTGGAGGACATGCTATACTAGGTAATATTCAGATGAATTTTTACAAATACAGCTCCTATCCTTAGTAAACATATAAGCTAAGGCAGAGGTGCTAATAAGACATAAACTGGGATAGAGCATTGGCCTGTGGACTGAAGGGTCCTGGGTTCGATTCAGATTAAGGACATATCAGTCTTGATCCCAATAGGGGGTGTGCAGGAGGCAGCCAATCAATGGTTCTCTCCTTCTTTTCCTCCCTCCCTCCCTCCTTCTCTCTCTCTCTCTCTCTCTCTCTCTCTCTCTCTCTCTCTCTCTCTCTCTCTCTCTTCCTCTCTGAAATCAATACAAACATATTTTAAAAAAGAAAGACATAAGCTAAGGACATATTAAAATACTGATATTCAAGGCTAGGGTAGTCAAGACACCAACCGTCATCTTCATATTTCACAGGCTTTGTAATATAAAAACAACTAGATGTGAGATCAAGAGCCACAATTATTGCCATAGCTGGTTTGGCTCAGTGGATAGAGTATCAGCCTGTGGACTGAAGGGTCCCAAGTTTGATTCTAGTCAAGGGCACATGCCCAGGTTACAGGCTCAATCCCCAGTAGGGGACATGCAGAAGGCAGCAATCATTGATTCTCTCTCATCATTGATGTTTCTCTCTCTCCCTCTCCCTTTCTCTCCGAAATCAATAAAAATATATATTTAAAAAAAGATTTAATAATGTTAAATTTGACAAAAAACAACTACAAACTAGAAATAGGCCCTTTACTGTTATCAAGGATGGGCAGGCAAGGCAGGCAGATGCTGCTTCTCTGGGACTGACATCTGGGATAGAGGGATGAAGATACTGAGACTGATCGGCCAAGACCACTACTGTGCAGGACCACTGTACAGCTGCTGTTTCCAGGGCTCTAAGATGCTTCTGATCCCTATGCTATCTTGTCTCTCATTTGTTTAATCAGTAAACACAATAAAAAATATTATTAATGTCTTGGGTGGGTGGGAAGAGACTAATCAAAGAACTTGTATGCATATGTGCATAACCCATAGACAGAGAACAGTGTGGGGAAAGCCTGGGATGGGGGGCAGGAGAAGGCTAGAAGGCGTCAATGGGGAACAAAGGGGAATATGTGTAATACTTTAAACAATAAAAGTTAGCTGTATTTCAATCACTTCTACAAAATTGGCAATATTAATTATACTTATATTTTTTAAAAGTGATGGAGACTGCACAGCAACATATCGAGTTTCACTGATTTTTTTGACTCATAACTATTCAATTGGACCCTATTTGTTAGAGACTGGAAGCATATTCCGTTTCCACTACCCAAAACTTTCTAATGCTTCTCATCTTTTTTATAAAACTTACCAATAGTAAGGTCATGCACTGGCTGAAACCTCTTGTCTGTAAACTGTAGCAATAAACATGATTTACCAACACCTGAAAGTAAAAAAAAAATAAAAATTAAGACATCAAATTCACAGAAATTAAGAACTTTTACAAAAGCACAAGGAAAACAGGCAGTCAGGGTTTCCGGTGCTCTGTGAACAATCCGCTATGACTTCTCAATGCACTCCTTTCTAAGGGATAGAGGGCTATAGAGCGTTGGCCTGCAGACCAAAGGGTTTGATTTCAGTAAATGGCATGTACCCTCCTGGTCAGGCTTCATGCAAGAGAGCGGGACCACAGCAGAATGGTGGAACAGGTGAGTGGGCAGTGCCAGTCCACTGTGGGGTGCCAAGGCTGGGGAGAGAGCTAGGGACCAATCCCCGCAGGCCACTCCGAGGGACCCCACCCATGCATGTATTTGTGCACCAGGTCTCTAGTTAATAAATGAGCTAGCAGTGTTTGGATCAACTTTTCTGGAAAAGCTCTTGTATCTTCTAATTCATTTCAGGATGAACTCTAATCTGAATTGCATTCCCTCACTCTACCTCCAAATTTCACTGCATTAAGGTTGTAAATAACTTCCACATTCCTAAATTGAAGGCCTATTTTCTATATTGGTCCTACTTGCCTTCTAATCAGAATTGTATATCGAACATCAATACCACCAACTCCTAATACTCACACTAGACCAAGTCTGCTTGTTTGATAGCATCCTGCTCTTCTATAAAACACTAAAGGCAGACATCATTCATTCATTCATTTATTCATTTGTTTACTCAAAAAGTCTTTATTGAATGCTAACTATGCACTGCACCAGAGACTTGAAAATACAATTGTGTGGAAAACTGTTTTGCTTCTATCCTTAAAGTTTAATACATGTAGAGACATTAAACAGGATGAATGCCCAAATAATTTGTATGAACTGTAATTTGAAATAATTGTAATAATCACCATTTGAAAGAAGAGAATAAAGTGTTATTAGAATGAGTAACAGAAGAGAATTTAAATCCCTCTTAGTAGTGCCTAGTCCATTTGCTTTACATTTGGTCAACTTTTACTATTGTAGCTTTCTGCATTTCAAAGTATAACACCAACTTAAGAGATAACAAATATGCTGGATTACATTTGAATCCTGTGTATGATACTGGTAGAAAAGGTTGTTTCAGGTCTCTAGGCCTTGTCTGCTTATTTATATAACTAGAGGCCCAGTGCACAGAATTCATGCAGGGGGGCGGGGGGAAAGAGGAGGGAGAGGGGTGTCCAGTCTGTGCCCTCTTGCAGTCCAGGACCCCTCACTCCTTATTGCCCACCAGCTTGCTGCTCCTTAGCACGCCCTGGAGGCGTGGGAATCTCCCCCTTTGAAAGTGCACTGACCAACAGGGGTCAACTCCTGCATTGAACATCTGCCCCCTGGTGGTCAGTGCGCATCATAGTGACCAGTTATTCTGGTCATTCTGCCACGTTTTTATTATACAGACTAGAAGCCTGGTGTGCGAAATTCATGCACTGGGGGTGTGAGTGGGGGGGGTCAGCCTGCACCCTAGGACCCCTCAAGAGATATCCAACTGCCTATTTAGGTCCAATCAGGCTGGCAGGGGAATGGTTAGGGGGTGATCAGGCTAGCAGGCAGAAGCGGTTAGGGACAATCAGGAGAGCGGTTGGGAGCCAGCAGTTCTGGATTGTGAGAGGGATGTTCGATGCCTAACTGCTCCCCTGCCAGCCTGATTGCCCCTAATTGCCCTCTCCTGCAGGCCTGGTCACCCCTAACTGCCCTCTCCTGTAGGCCTGGTCCTCCCCTAAACTGCCCTGCCTAGTAGGCTTGGTCCCCTGTAACTGCCCCCTTGCAGGCCTGGTCCTCTGCAACTACCCTTCTCTGCCAGCCCAGTCACCCCCAACTGCCCTTCCTTGCAGACCTGGTCCCTCTCAACTGCCCTCCTCTGCTGGGCTGATCGCCCACAACTGCCCTTCCCTGATAGCCATCTTGTGTCCTCATGGGGGTGGCCATCTTGTGTGTTGGAGTGATGGTCAATTTGCATATTACCTCTTTATTATATAGGACTAGTGGCCAATGAACGAAATTCATGCACTGGGAGGGGTGGGGGAAGAGGTTGGCCTGTGACCTCTCACAATGCAGTAACTCCATGATCAATTGCCCCAAAGAAGTAGGCTCCGCCCACCCACCCAGGGCTGGAGCCGCAGGGAGCAACCATCGGGCCCCGCCTCCTCTGCACACACAGCCATCTTGTGACAGTATGAGGGCATTACAGCATAAGGGCTAGGCTATTAGTATAGATCAGCCGTTCTCTAATGCTTTCTAATGCTGCGACCCTTTAATATAGTTCCTCATGTTGTGGTGACCCCCAACCATAAAATTATTTTCATTGCTACTTCATAACTGTATAGGAGGTTATCATATTACCACTTACCTTATTTATAAGACTACTGTGAGAATACAAGAGCTAGCATGTGGAGAATAAGAGATACTATATCTCCTTCTTTTTTGTTCCCCAATGCCTAAAGGCAAGCTGACACTTTATCCCGTGCCCAAGCCAGAATATTCTATACATACTGTTTTAAGCACTCTTCAAATTATGCTTTGTCAGTTCATACATCCACCTTCCTTCTTTAAAAGCAGTAACATTCACCTTTTGCACAGCAGTCTCCCTTATCTGGGGGTACATTCTAAGACCCTCAGTGAATGCCTGAAACTGTAGATAGTACTGAACCCATTTATACTGTGATTTTTCCTATATGTACACACCTATGATAAAGTTTAACTTATAAATTAGGCACAGTAAGAAATTAGCAATAAATAATAAATAGAAACATTGTAATAACATACTGCAATAAAGGTTATCTGAACGTGGTCACTCGTTTCAGGGGATCCCTTGCTGAAATCTTCCTAAAGGCACAATGCTTTCTGATGTAACGCATTGCTGTCAATAGGAACACATTTTCTGTTCATATCTTCCATCCACAAACTTAATGCCTTTTCCATCTTAACTAAGCACCTATGAACTGTACCTATAACTTAACACAGTTTGAGGCTGAGCAAAACTAGCATGACTTTCACTTTTCACAATTTCACAGGTAGATTTGTTCTCACCATAGATTTTAGCAATCTCAGAATATGATTCCCCCACCTTTAAGTCCAGAACGTTCACCTTTCACTTAAAGAAAACAGTTTATGGCTTTTTTGTGGCATATCCAAATTGTCAGCATCAATACTCTTGCGCTTTGGGGCCATCGGTAAGTAAAATAAGGTGACCTGAACATGAGCACTGCAATGCCACCACAGCTGATCTGATAATCCAGATGGCCACTGAGGGACTAATTGGCGGCAAGTGTCTACAATGTGGAGACACTGGACAAAGGATGATTCATGTCTGGGTAGAATACAGTGGGAAAGCATGGGATAACATCACACTACTCAGGTCTGCATACAATTTAAAATTTATGAACTGTTTACTGAATTCTCTCCAGAATTTTCCATGTAGTACTTTTGGCCTCTCAATGAAATTCTCTGCCATCCAGTGGGCCTCAACCATGCCCCTCCAAGGAGGCATGGATGCCGGATTTGTTCCTTCCATGTTCTGCCTCAGTCTTATGGGTAGTAGCTATGCCCTTTATTTGCTTACTGTATTCTGCAGAGTTCTCTTTACTTCTTAATTTTCTATTACTCTTAAGTCCACATTATAATTAATGATTTTTTACATTAGACTTTCCCTGTTCAAATTCCTGTGTGGTTTCTGTCTCCTGGTTGGACACTGACTGATACAACTAGTATGATTAATACATCCTTTATTAAGGTAAGTCAAATTTATTTTGAAGTTGAAGGTTTCTGAATATAAGCTGAGCTTAGATTTTCTTAGCAAAGACCTCATTTGTCTTTTTTTAGTGCAATATTTTCACAAATATAAAGCTATAGATGCAATTTATTAATTTTTAAAAATTAGAAAATAAAATGGAGCATATGCCAATTTTCACAGGGAATAAATGACAGACTATTAAAGCTAACAGCAAGACAGGTAGCAGAATGTGGTAAAAATAGCATAATTTTCCTTTCTTTCCCAACTTCTGACACCTTCTCCCATTAGCTTATTGTAATGGTGGAGACTGGCTGGAGTGTTTGAGAAGAATCAGAGTAAAGTGAAGTATTACTACCTACTTTTCAGAATCTTAGAATGTCACAGTTTGTTGAAATCAGAGGTCCTTTGTGCAGAGATTTTTATAAAATGTTTTTATTGTTTTTTCGAGAGAGAGCAAGAGAGAGGGATAGAGATAGAAACATCTATGAAAAAGAAACATAATCTATCAGCTGTCTCCTACCTGCCCCTCCCTGGGGACTGAGCCCAAAACCTGGCATGTGCTCTAACTAGGAATCAAACCAGTGACCATTTTATTCCTGAGTAGACGCTCAACCCAAACCATACTGGCCTGATTGTGCTATGATTTTTAAACAGTAGACTATAACCAGTTAGGTCACAACTAACATTAAAAAATGACTAGAACAAAGTAATAAATATTAGACTGTATATACTAGTACTATACAAGGTTAGGACAGTACTGTTTGGAAACTTTTGTTTTAGAACATATATGAACTCTGGGTTGCAACATAATATATTATTGGGGCTTATAAAAAATAAACTTGGGCCCTGGTGGGTTTTGCTAAGTGGTTAGAGGTCTGCCCGCGGACAGAAGGGTCGTGGGTTCCATTCCAGTCAAGGGTATATACTTCTGTTGTGGGCTCAATCCTCGCCTGGTCAGGTACATGCAGGAAGCAACCAATCGATTTATCTCTCTCACTTAGATGTTTCTCTCTCGCTTCCTTTCACTCTCTCTCTTAAAACAAAAACAAAAACAAACAAACAAAAAAACCCAGAAAAAATATTCTTTGGTGAAGATTAACAAAAACAATCTTGGAAATTACTTTCTAATATCTAATCCAGCAACACATCCAATGAAAGAACTCAAGAACTCAAGAACTCATCTACAATAATTTTGCAAAATAAATCAGCTAAAGAATCTAGAATACTTCCATTATCTTTTAA